CTCGATGTGTGTGGATGTTGTTACGTGGTGCATAACTAAAACAATCATTCAGACATAAATCTAACACAAGATTAATACAAGAAAACAATTGGTGTCATGGCTTACTGCTAACCTTGAAACAGAGCAGACTAAAGCAGACTTTGAATCTTACTAAACTACATTACTAACACATTAATGTCTAATAATTATCTGACTGATTTACTAATTTCTAACAGAACAAAAAACAGAAAATTGAAAATCTTCATACTGGAGGAGCAGAAACATAAAATATTGTCATTTTGCTTAAAAATTACTCAAATGGTTAATTTATTATTAAAATTGTTGCTGATTAGATTTTGTATCTACTTTATATTTCACTTGTATTATGTGGACAGCAAAGTAAGAATTTTATTGTACAGGGAAACACGTTTGTTAACTGCATATGACAAATATGCTGACGTTGTTAATCTTTGCACTTCGGTCTTCCCCCTGTCTGACTCAGTAAATAATCTTGGTATAATTTTTGATTGTGGTTTTAATTTTGAGAAACAAATTAGGGCCGTGGTTAAGTCGTGCTTTTTTTCACCTAAGACTTTTAACTAAGGTGAAACCTTTTTTGTCACATGGTGATTTGGAGAAGGCAATCCATGCATTTGTCATCTCAAGGTTGGATTATTGCAATGCTCTGTATATTGGAGTTCCTCAGTCTTTGCGCAACAAACTACAATTAGTCCAAAATGCAGCAGCTCGGCTACTATCTAATGCTCACAAGTTTGCTCATAATTCCCCTATTCTCTGTGCTCTTCACTGACTTCCAATCCAATTCAGAATTAAATTCAAGATATTATTGTTTGTTTTTAAGGCTGTTCATGGCCTTGCACCATCTTATTTGCCTGACCTGTTGGCTATTTATGTGCCGTGGAGAGCTCTTCGATCAACTGACCAGTTGTCACTGGTGGTCCCGCGATCCCGCTATAAAAAGTGGGGCGACTGTTCATTTTCTGTTTGTGGCCCTAGACTATGGAATGTCCTGCCAGTCGTACTACGGGCGGAAAGCGACCTAGTGGCCTTTAAATAGGCCCTAAAGACCCACTTTTTAAGCAGGCTTTTGAGTCCTAATTTGTTTTTATTGTTTTATGTTTTTAGAAGTCAGTTTAGCACTCTAGTATTTTTTCTGTTGTTATCGTTTTGCTCTGCTTATTGGGTTTTGACTGTACAGCACTCTGGTGCTCTTGTGAGTTGTAGAGCGCTATATAAATAAAGTTTATTATTATTAAATAAATGCTTTGACCTTGATTAATTTTCTGTGGGTCAACTAATCAAGTAACAGATCAGTTATTTCAGCTCCAGTTTCCAGTTCATCAAACCAGAACCTTTGAATTGTGATGAGTTCCAAAAACCACCAATAAGCCCAGAGACAATTTCAGTAGCAATTCTACAACAAGTAGTTTTGTCTTGGTTATTTTTGGCATAAAAATTGCAAATATGAAAGATGCTGAGAAATACTGATCAATGCATTAAGCCTTGGGACTATACTGGGGTGTGGAGGAACCAGCTAATCCTGACTGGAATATGTTGTAAAAAAAAGTGCTCATCCTCGTGCAGTGCAGAGTTTTAGTAAAGTGTTTGACAAACGTTTCACTCCTCTTCACAGAGTCTGTGCTCTCTGCTGGGATTTCTGTTTGCTGAGCCCAACCTGAGACAGAGCAGAGGGCAGCCGATGAGGAGCCTTGCAATGACGGTGAAAGAATGATACAGGAAGTGACAGGTAGGAGGGAGAAACACTTCAACGTAGTCAGGTGATAACCAGGTGCGGTGATGGCAGCGTGGTTGGGCCGGGTGTCTCTGGGCGACACCTGGTACAACATGTACTCCCGCCTGGTGCGAACCAAACCCGTGGGATCCATGGGTCAGAGCTCTGACGGCCTCACCGAGCTGGCGGAGGGATCAGTGGTCAGGCTGGCCAAGGTCCTGACCACTGTGGACCTGGTGTCACTTGGGGTGGGCAGCTGTGCTGGCACGGGGATGTATGTGGTCGCTGGGCTGGTGGCGAAGGCAATGGCCGGACCTGGGGTCATCCTGTCCTTCATCATTGCAGCAGTGGCCTCCATACTGTCAGGTGAGACAAGAGGTGACCACTAGGGGAGAGAATGTGTTGGGAGCTATTTTCAGAGGCTGATTAGTTGGTGCTTGTGGCAGCAGGGCGGTGTATGTGGGACAGGGTTAGAATGAACAACAGCGGGTGTTCATGGTGACGAGGGCGACAGCATGGAAGGAATAGTGTGCTACATTTCTAGTAGACGTCTGTAAAGGCAGCAGCTCAGGGAGTGAATGAGTGAAAGAAACCCCACAAGCCATGCCGAAGAAGGGAAGCCCAGACACTGTCCACTGCTACTGACATACGTAGGGAGGGACACATCATGTCCAGGTATGGGCCAGGACACGATCCACCTGGAGGGAGTCCCGCACCTGCAGACAGAAGACACAGCAGCAACCAGAACAGAACAAACAAGGGCCCATCACAATCTGAAAGCATGAAAATTCCCCAAACTTTGGGACTATAGGTATGGATGGATCCTGGGAAAATGGGCCCCTGGGCACAGACAGGTGAAAGGCCCTCTACCCCTCCTAGTGTGTCTTTATGGTAGTCTTGCATCTCTTTGTGATTGTTTTGTTTCTTTTTGCATTTCATTTGATAGTTCTGTCCATCATTATCTGCCAAGGTGACTGGCTGGAATGAAAACGCAGTCGCTCTGTCTGTTTATGGTCATTTTTGTCTCTGTATTTTTTTGCGGGGGGGGGGGGCCTGGGGATTGTGCTTTGGTTCTGTCTGGTAATCCAGCCATGATTTTAAATTGGAGTGATGAATCCCCATCATTTCATTCAGCTCCTGAGTGACACAGATTCAGAAACCTGTCTTCTGGGAAGGGTTGTCTGTCTAAGGGTGGATGAATATTTTATGCAACCTGTGTGCACGTTTTTTTAAGGTGTGTGCTATGCAGAGTTTGGTGTCCGGGTCCCCAAGACGACCGGCTCGGCCTACACCTACAGCTACGTGACGGTCGGAGAGTTTGTGGCGTTTTTCATTGGCTGGAACTTGATCCTGGAGTACCTGATCGGCACGGCAGCGGGGGCGTCGGCACTGAGCAGCATGTTTGATTCTCTGGCCAATCACAGCATCAGTAACTACATGATACTACACCTGGGCACGTTCAGAGGACTCGGTAAATACCATCAGCATGTGAATCATTATTTTTTTTACTAAAAACAATGACTTCACATAATGCAACAGAATTAGATCCACTCTCATGTTTGGAGCATCGTGTTGTAATGTTACAGGAATAAAGTCTTATAGAAGAAAAGCCATAAAACCATAATATTGTGTAAGATTATAAGAATATAACAACCACTATATTGTAGCTATATAGCAAATGCAACAAAGACAGTGTTTCTCATTATATCCATCCTTATCCGTGCTAATACACACCTGTCTATTTGCTTGCATCACTGGTAGCATATGTGTAGTCATGTACTACTGACTGTCTCAGGTAAGGGTGAGGACACGTACCCCGACCTGCTGGCCCTGTTTATCGCCCTGCTGGTCACGGTGGTCATCGCTCTTGGTGTACATAACTCGGTGGGGTTCAATAACGTACTCAACATGGTGAACCTGGTGGTTTGGGTCTTCATGATCCTCGCTGGACTCTTTTTCCTCTCTGCCAGTAACTGGGAGGGAGGCAAATTCCTGCCCTATGGCTGGTCAGGGGTGAGGCACTGAACCACTCTGGGTTTATTATCAGGCTATATTATAACTGTACCTCAACAGATTGGAGAGATTATCTTGTTAGTTAAATATCCCAATTTACACTGAGTAGAAATTATATAAAGACATAGTTTTAACACCTTCTAGCGACACACACATTAACACAAGAAAAAGGAAATAATCCTGTTCCTGTTCAGGTGATGCAGGGGGCAGCAACCTGTTTCTACGCCTTCATTGGCTTCGACATCATCGCAACGACAGGAGAAGAGGCAAAAAACCCCAACACATCCATCCCATATGCCATCACCGCCTCGCTGGTCACCTGCCTCACTGCCTACGTGTCGGTTAGTAAGCACCACTGACTTTCACATAAAAGATGACGTCAACCACTGGCTTTCTGGCTGCTGCCATCTTGGTAGAGCTTCACTCCACTTGCTACAGCTAATCCAAAAGTGGGCAAAGAGGTGGAGCGTGAGTGGAGACAGCTAGTAGCCAGTCACCTGAGGTGGGACCCTCCCACATGTCACTCAAAGCAGCCACACCTTTAATTATGCATACATTTTATCCTTAATATAATTTAAACATGTAAGTTATATAAAAAAAGGAGTTTGCATGTTCTCCCCGTGCTTGCGTGGGTTCTCCCCGGGTACTCCGGCTTCCTCCCACAGTCCAAAGACATGCAGCTTAGGTTGATTGGTGTCTCTAAATTGCCCATAGGAGTGCATGTGCCTGTGTGTGGTTGTTTGTCTATATGTTAGCCCTGCGATGGATTGGCGACCTGTCCGGGGTGTACCCTGCCTTCGCCCAATTGCCGGCCGGGATTGGCTCTGGGCCCCCCCCGTGACCCCGCTCAGGGAACAAACGGTAGAAAATGAATGAATGAGTTATATAAAAAATACTTCCCCTGTACAGGTGTCATGGAAGGGAAAATTAGGTATATAGCCCAAAACCAGTTTATGTTCCATTCTGTAACCATGTTTATTTCTGCTGTAAAGCCGGGCACTTTAACATGGGAGTCTACGGGACTGCCTCACTGTTGGAGCCAGAGGAACTGCAGGTTTTAAGGTGTCTGGATCACTAATTATTCATAGTGTTGTTTGAGTCATCAGTGTAACTCCGTACAGGTGAGTGTGGTCCTGACTCTTATGGTTCCCTACAACCTGATTGATGGCTCGGCTCCTCTCATGGAGATGTTTGAGGTGCACGGCTTCCTGTGGGGGAAATACACTGTAGCTGTGGGCTCCATAGCCGGACTCACAGTCTCTCTGCTGGGCTCCCTGTTCCCTATGCCCAGGGTCATCTATGCCATGGCCCGGGATGGACTGCTGTTCAGGTCAGACACTAACACACACAGAGGCTAGTTTAATTTGTTCCTACTAACACTTAAAAAGACCAACTTCCTGCTCCATGTGTCTGAAGGTCCCTGTCCCACGTGTCTGCGTTCACACACACTCCCACATTGGCGTGTGTTGTGTCAGGGAGCTTTGCCGCCCTCCTTGCTCTTCTGGTGAGTCTGAGAGACCTGATTGAGATGATGTCCATCGGCACCCTGCTGGCCTACACTCTGGTCAGTGTGTGTGTGCTCTTACTGCGCTACCAGCCTAACGAACAGACTGACACACACCAGTTTACCTCTGGGGAGGATGTGGATGCACTGAAGCACCAGAATGATGGAGCCAACCACACAAAAGATGACCATATGCTGACTGAAGGCCCCGGAGGTGATGGATCCTCGTCCTACCACAGCAGTGTGACTGAGGGGGAGGGTGACGACTCTGATGTCCACACAGGCCATGCCTCCCTGTTGAAAAGGCTTCTAGGAGGTCATTACTTCACTCTCCGGCTGTGGCTGGGAATGCCTGACGCATCCGCTCAGCCCACCCCTGCCACCGGCCGCATAGTGACCCGCTGCACGCTCCTCCTCTTCTTCATGTCCTTCCTCCTCTGGTCAACCATCATATTTGGTGTTGAGCAGGGAACATGGGCTGAGGCAACATTTTCAGGTCTCATGGCCACTGCAATGGCAGCATCCATGGCAAAGCTTTTGGTTAGGATTATCCAGCAGCCAGAGAGCACGCGCAGCCTGCCGTACATGGTGCCCTGCGTGCCTTTCGTCCCTGCGGCAGCCATACTGGTCAACAGCTACCTCATGCTCAAACTGTCTGCACTCACCTGGGCCAGGTTCACCGTCTGGTGCCTCGTAGGTAAGTGGAAACATTCTTGACTGTGGGTTTTGTAGATCATCACAGGCACACACCTTCTGCAACGTGTGATCCCAGGACAGCTGGCTCCTGAGTGACATTCACATCATAACCAGTGGCAAACCTTATAGATTTCAAACACAGTTTAAATAAGTGATGTATGACAATAATAAAATGATGGCCAATGAGGAGGAAACTATTGTTTTCTACTTTATATTTACAAGAGGGAAAATTGTGACAATTATCAATCATATGAACGTGGTGACTGCATCAGGAGTTTGCTATCTGGCTTCTTGCAGTTTCTGTAAGGATGTTGCTGTTTCATAGAGTGGGTTAGATCAACTTTGGCTGATTTTGTTTTCTAGGTCTGAGTTACACAACAACCAACCAGAAGTAGAAATGAAAAAATGAGATCTTACTCTGATTTTGCTGAGTTCGAGTGCTTTATACATGAGGTGTGCAATCAGACTGTGTTCTCTGTTGGTTAACAAATGATGAGGTGGGGGAGGAGCTTCCCTCCATCTGGAATTCCTGAGGCTTGATAAGTCTCCCCAGGTGGACAGTTTCTCTGCAGGATGTCTCTACCTGCTGGCTCGAGATTTTCTATTGTGATTTAACAACAGTTGTTTGTCCGTCCTCAGGTCTGCTGATCTATGGTTGTTATGGAGTGTGGCACAGCACTTTGGAGCTGAACACCTGCGAGCAGCAGGTGCATGCCAGCTCCTACCAGCGCTACGACGACCACCTCGACGACACCTTCTCTCCTGACGATGACCTTTACCCCCAAGAGCAGGATGAGAGGACCTACCAGGGCTGGTCTGCCCCCGAGGAGAGGGGATACCACTACCAGCAGCAGAACCAGCACCAGCAGCAGAACCAGTACGAAGACCATGAGGGACAGCAGTTTGAGAACCAGTACGAGGATAATGGAGATCAGTACAGACACCAGCATATGAACAGCAGGTCCACAGGAAGTACCAATCACGGGTTTGATGCAGGTGTAGAGGAGAACTGAGTGCAGGAGGTTTCCTAGTCTGGTTCAATGTCACATAAAAGCTCCAAATATAAAGACATAAATAAAAACTTTGAGGCTGTCTTATGGCATGTAAGAGACAATAAGTGAAAACATGTTATGTTAATAATTCCCACTGTACCTGTCTCTAGGTCTGCTCTGTGTGGATGTGTTTTCTTGAATATCAGGATATAGTGGGCACCTCCCATGACAGCTGCGTCACTGAACGAGGCCCGCAGCAGCTGCAAGAGCTTCACTGAATTCTGGTGTCTGTACCCGCTTCTCTTCATGCACCAGCAACTTGACAGCAACAGTAAATCTCCACCAACATCTGAACTGCATCCTGGTCCTTAAGCTCAGGCTCGGTTTACATGTTTGTGAGACACAAGTGGCCTTGCACAACAGACTTTCCTCCTGTGAAAACATCAGTTTAGTGCTTCTCCTCCAGACAGTAATCGGCAAACTTTCAGTCATGGACCATTCAGACTAGTATCAGCCCGACACGAACCCCCTTCTACTTGTCACCTCACAATCACTGCAACAGAAGATAAGGCCCTGCTGATTAGAGTTTGACCAGCCTCCAGTAAGCCTGTACATTTTCACATCTACCTGAAATAACACATCTCCACCAGTGTAGCCCCTTGTGGTGTTTCAATTTGAATTCATATGGACAGATTCTGAGTGAGTGGTGGACATAGATGTGTACGAAGCACACCTCCTCTGCACACGTAGATACTGTGCCATTCTATTATGTAAAAACAGTTGTTATTATTATCATTATTTTTTAATTGAGACCTTTAATAGTCATTAGAGCCAGAAGCTCTGGCCCTACCCCTCGTGGCCCATTTCGAAGTCCATCCAGCAGGACAGTAGGCAGTGATTCAACCTAAAGCGATCTGCTGTAGAAACAACACAAGAATCCAAACATCAGCCCCGTTTCCACCAGACTAACTTTCCAGGGGAACAGGAAGCTTTTGCAGAATTTAGTTCCTCCACTTCCGACTCCACCAGAGGAAACAGGGTCCGTGAACTATCAGGGCGAGGCCTGCAATACTGAGTGTTGCTGACTGGTCAAATATGGCGCAGTTGGCGCCGGCTGCTGACCATTTGATATGTCATTGGGCTAATGTTTTTGGCCATGCCGTGGAAATCCACAATGTGCTTTTAGCCCAGACCCCACTCACACTGTATCCGGCCTAGGAGCTTCAGCCCCGTTATTCACTCAAACTGTGAAAAACCTGGGAGTGTTATTTGATAGCAGCCTCAAATTTGACAAGCAGATTAGTTTGGTGGTTAAAAATAAGCTTCTTTCAGCTGAGGCTGCTAGCAAAGGTGAAACCTTTTTTATCTCAAGTCGACCTAGAAAAAGCCATTCATGCCTTTATTAGCTCACGACTTGACAAATGCAATGCCCTCTATACTGAAATTAGTCTCGACTCCATAGGCTCCAACTGGTACACTCCAAAGAATGCTCACATCACCCCGGTTCTTCAGTCCCTTCACTGGCTTCTGGTACAGTTCAGAATAGACCTTAACATTTTACTGTTTGTGTTCAAGGCTATTAATGGTCTTGCGCCAGTCTATTTGACCTATCTTTTAACCATTTATACCCCGGTTAGAGCGCTGCGTTCCTCTGAGCATGTGTCTCTGGTTGTCCCACGGGCAAGGTATAAAAAGTGGGGAGATCGTTCTTTCACCTTGTATGCCCCCTAGCTCTGGAATGCCCTGCCCCCTGAGGTTCGATCTATAACAGAGCTAATGGTTTTTAAGTCTAAATTAAATGCACATTTATTCAGACTGGATTTTAGCATCTAATATTTAGCAGCAATGCTATACGGGGCCTACAGGCCTTCCTGATTTTATAATTCATAATCTTCTCTGTATTTTGACTCATTTTTATTCTACAGGTGTGTTATAGTTCTTAGATCGTTGTTTTAAATTTGTGCAATGTTAACCTTTCTTTTGTTTATGTATTTTTGGCATGCTCTGTTTTATCTCTGTTTTATTGTGAAGCACTTTGAGCTCCTTGGTGTTGTAAAGCGCTATATAATCAAATAAATTATTATTATTATAACGTTGACATGGCTGTTTGTCTCAGATTTAAGTCAAACCAAACTCTCAGAAACCAAACTCTCAGAGACCCTGAATGCCACACAGTAGCTTTGCTTTTTCTCCGGTTTGGTTTGTGCGCTTAGTTTACAGTTGTACTAATGCATTGAACATCTTTACTGGAACTTTCTGACGCCCTGTTTGTTTCTCTTCTTTGGGTGAGTGGTGTTTACTGTGAAAGAACAGCCGCTCTGTTCAGTAGCTGAAGTGTGTGCAAATGATAATTAGCCTTGTGTTTGTTTGTGTTTTAGGAATAAATAAATGACTTTTTGAGTGAAATGATTTGAAACATTTATTATTTGTAGTACCAGCCATATCCTACAGTACACGTACACAGTTGATACAGTTTGTTTATAAAGTTAATATTAATCGCAAAACATAGTCACTGGTACATGAGGCTATTTATTTACACTTGTTAAACTCAGTTTTTCTTCAACAATAAACTTGAATTCTCTGTACTTCAGCTATTATGTTTGGCAATTTCTTCATGCAATTTAGAGCATAGGTTCTACGGTGGCCCTGAGGTGCAAAACAAAACACAATGGAATTTCACAACGACAAAAAGCAAAAACCAGCAACATTTCAGACAGATGATGGGCAAACTGGTTCAGTGAGGCTTGACTTCTGTGCAACATCAGCTGATCTTGACTGACTTGGGTTCTGCGCAGTCACACAAAAGCAGTGTTGTCCCTGTCTCTTTTTATGTGGATTCTGTAAAGCATCCACACTATGTTCTCCTGTTCGTTATTGTGTGGATGCGTAAGCATCCACACTCTTGTTATCTTCTTTATCTTCTTCTTTATTCTTTACTATGTTATCCTATTTCTTTATTATTGTTTTGATGCTTATGCATCCACACTGTTATGCAGTTCTTTATTAGTGTGGATGCTCACATCCACACTCTTATCTTCTTCTTTATTGTATGGATGCGTAAGCATCCCCACTATTTTATCCTGTTCTTTATTATTCTGGTTTCTACCACTGTTCTTTGGCACCTAACTCCTTCCACATATTTTCACCTAGAAGGGCCATTGAGGTATCAAACTGTTTATCTCCTTAAGGACGTGTGTGCTTCTATACAACTTTTTTATAACTTTCATACTTTTTAAGATATTCAGCTTTTTTACAGAAATTTCCCCATTGGAAATGAATGGGGCAAAGTTGGAAGCTTAATATCTCCGGCATACCTTGGGCTAGAAACGCCATTTCAACTTTATTCAACTCGTGAGACGTTCAGCTACCAATGGTGCAAAAATCATCTTGATATATTTTATGTTTCTTTTTATAATTGACATTTATATTTTGTCTATTTGTCCATAGACAATGAATGGGCCAATACTCTGCAACGCCATTGGCAGGGGGCCGCGCCCCACGTGACCCCCGGTCTAGCAGCTTTCTCTATGCTTCTCCTCTTCCTCATTACTTTTGTGCTCCTATTATGCCGTTCTTAAACTTTATACACATATAATGCATGAAACTCATAGAGAAAATTGTCAGAATCCAGCTGTGTAATTGTCATTGCAAAGAGATGGAGGTATTTGCGTAAGTCGCACATTCCGGCGCGTACCGTCTCACTGCTCCTTAGGCTCGCAGTCAAAAAAAATGCGCTGGAAGGAAAAAGTCTGTGCAATTATAAATCGCCATGGTTCCTTCAATTTGTTTAATATCTTGACATAATACAACAGTGGAATAACACAACAGAGTGCGGTATATATTAAAACGTCATGAGGATGTCAGTTTGCTCATCGCCGCGTCTCTCGCTCCTGTGTCTTTCCCTGCAGACGGTCCCAGCGGAGCTCACAGCTGATTCTCAGCTGGATATAGAGCGGCTCAGAGGCGCTGGCACTGCCAGTCCGCCCCATCCTGCTAGCAGCTTGGCAGCAAAAAACGTTACGATCTACTGTTTATCTCTTCCCTACAACAATCGCTACCAAAATGCAGTACAATTCTGTCTCCCAGACCCTATCTGTTAACTGCTGTTAACTACATAAATATAAATCACACTAAATAGTTAGACATTATGATCTTTTGAACCTTAGCTTCAAGAATTTTTCTAATTAACAGCCTACCTAGACATCCTGTCTCCACTAAACATTTCTAATACAGCAAGTATCTAACCAATATCTATCTGACTAAAAAAATACCTAACAACTTATAGCGACGTAAGCCATGCCAGGTTAAAAAAATGTGCTTCACTGAAACTGTTGTCATTCCTTGAACCTTATGTATTGTACAAGCAAAGGCCAGCTTGATGGGGAACTGTCTGCGAACGACTCCTCTTTGTTTCAAGTTTTCTTCTGCTCTCTTATGTATACTAGATTGTCAGGTACACCTGGAACTGTGTGATCACTGTTCTTTCCAGCTGTCTCATTGTCCATCTTGAGTCCAAACTTAATAACATGTGCATGTCATTCTGTTCAGAAGTTACCACTGTGAGTAAAGTAGCAAATGAACCATTTACTAATCCTTTGGAAACATCAAGGTTTCTGGTGAGCATAACACGAACACCCTCAGGAACCTGCAGTGTGTCTGGTAACTCATTTTTGTTTTCATGAAATGGTTTGGGTTGTCGACACATTTTGCCTGTTTGTGTATCTTTTTTATAATCATTGGCATCAATGTTAATGATATGCACCTGAAGTTGAGCCAATCTTGCTATATTGTGCTGATCTACCTGTTTATTTGTTGCAAAAATGTGAAGAACATCAGTTGGACAAAGTTCTGGTTCAGTGATGGTTTGTGAAAGCAGTGCTTTGTCTGCTTCAGACAACTGATCAGACTTTTCTTTTACACGAATCCTGTTTAGCATTTCTGCAAAGGCAACATCATCTTTCTGACGCATAATGTCAGTTAGTGTGATCATCTGAAAATGTTCTTGCCATAAGTCAATCTCGCATGGGTCATGTATACATAGAGGTTTAGATTGTCGCACTGGTGGTAGTTGATAAAAGTCTCCAACAGCTAATACTGATAAGCCTCCAAAGGGTTTCTGACTGCCTTTGATCTGTTTGAGTCTCACATCCACATAGGCAAAAAGCTCCTTTGACACCATAGACACTTCATCAATAATTAGGATTTCAGCATTTAACAATTCTGCTCTGACATCATCCAGCTTATTACCTAGTCCTTGAAATGGAGGTTTTAGGCCAATGAACACACACAAACCTATATTGTGAATGTGCTTCAGTCAGTATAGCCCCATTGGGTGTTGGCTTTAAAGGAGACCATAGAGATGTAAATGTTGCAATTGGAGACATTGTTTCACACCTGGCTGCCTCAGATTTTTCATCTTCACAAGTAAAAGGCTCTAACAATTAAATACTTTTATGAAAAACTAAACAGATGTGAATTTTTCATGCATGTATATTGTGTTTTTCTATCCTTCTTAGATGCACACACTCCACAGTGCTTCTGTTGCTGAACTAGTCTCTCTCTCCTCAAAACCAGAAGTGTCTCACATTCAGTATAGCCCCAGTGGGTGAGCTCTGCCTATCACACCAAGCCAGTCAGCTGATTCAGTCTGAATGAAGCAGAAGTGGTTCAAACGTAATCAGTCACATGGTTTTTATTGATTTGAAGCAAGCTCCAACACAGTGCTTCAAAAAAAATATCCTTCAGAGTTTGAAGCAAGCTTCGAAGCCTCGGTATCAAAGGGAATATCACTAAGTATTTCCATGTTTCTTGTTTGTAACATAATTATTGAACACAACTTTTTTTGACACTCAACATCAGTGTTTCTAAACTGGTGTCATCCTAAAACATAATGTCCAAACCACTTATCAAGTCACAACTCATTGGTACAACATTTCAATTTCATTTATTCAATTATAAAGCATTTTCTTAAAAACATAGTCAATACAACCTTTGCTTCACATTTTTGTCTGAATTGAAGAAATGTTACTCAAAAATGAAAACAAACACCAGAACCGTTAAATAATACAACATAAATACAACTGTCAAACACAGTTTAACACACAACAAAGTACTCTATATGTATAAAAATTGTTCAGAAATATAAATATTTCAATTATAAGCATTCAATACACACAATATGGTTTCATGAGGCAAATGTTGACGTAATATTTCTCAGTCATTTATACAATTTCTTTACATCTACAGTGTGACTGCTCATGAGAGCTGCATGTAACATGATA